CAATAATCAGAATTTTACCTCTGACCAAAGTTAAATAAAATGACACAACATTTAGATTCTAGATGTTGACTCAACATCAAATCTCTTAAAATAGTATCAATAAAATAATAATATCAAGGACTATAAATAAAAATAATAAGACATGCCAAACTATCAAGAATTGGAAAGGAAGGTGGGAAGGAGGATGAAAAGTTAAATAATTGACCTAAATCTTTAATTGTAGAAAATGTCAATAGTTTATATATTAGGGAAAAAAGCACATTTTTAGAGACATCGATATAATCACAAATAGAAAATTTAGATGAGACTAAAAGTATCTGCCTTTCCTCTGTAGTGATAAGGATTATTATTCATAAATTCTTACTATTTATTTGGTTTTATTTTGCTCCTACATGTTTATATATATATATATATATATATAGCCACATTATATAATATATAATAGGATATTACATAAAGAAAATGTATGTGTGTGGTCACTATTGACTGCTGTGCATCAGAATTCTTGGGTAAAGTTCAATATATACATGTAGGTTTTCTTTCATGTGGAAAATTTTCTTGTTTATATATTTATATACTAGTTGTCTTAGTTTTAGTCTTCAAAGTTCAAAATACAAATATATTAAATCTTCTTTGCTTCTCCGCCATTTCAACCTCTCTTCCAATGACTTTTACATTCCTTTGTCTCACAGTCATTCTCTATCTCATATTCATTTTCTTAATTCACTGCTTTTCTTTAATGTCCTTTATGAAGTCTTTATTTGAATTTATTTCCTTCTGTACATTTCATAATTTGTTTTTTTATTTTTGCGATTCCTGATTGTTTGACTTAAAAATATCTTTCCTCAAATCATTATATTCCTCACCTCATTTTCTCTTTTTGATTCATTTCTCTTTTTTTAATTTTCTGTGACTACATTTGAATAATATGTATCTACATAATTCCAAAGAATTAGTTTTTAAATTTAAATTTTTTTTCAGAATGAAGTGCTGTGTAGCAATTTTCTGTTTTGTTGTTTTGTATTTGATTTTTAGAGGAAGAGGTTTTGTCAAATGAATTCTCTGGATTCTCATTTTCCATATTTTCTTAAGATAGATTTACATACAATAAGTCTGAGCCTTTCAGTTCCTAGACAGTGTTTCTAGACAAGTGCACTCTCTTCCATGAATATTATGAAGTACGTTTTCCTTAATGATTCAAGATTTTAGTGCTGGTTTTGAAAAAGAGAAAGGTTAACATATATTATGACCTCCTTTCATTCCACTGGGATCTTTTGTACTTCCCAATTTCTGGCATATCTCTAGTATCACGTATCCAATATGTAGTTTTGCCTCAAAAGTGAGGATATATTTAGAGTACTCAATTCTAATTCCATTCAATTTTAGTATCTTTCTTATAAACTTTGCTATAAACTGTCACTCTCAGATCTGTGTTCAGTATTTTAGCAGTACCACATGTTCTTTTTTGGTCCAATTTTCTTCTGTGGTTTACATTTTGCTTTTTAACATATATTTCTTTGTGGAGTATTTCATTATCTCAGTCCTTCACTCTCTTAGACTCATAAGTTTATGACAATGACAAAGATTCAGCATTAGCTCTGTTGAAATTTGGTGCATATATTATATAAGGGAATTTTAAATTTACATTATTTTATTCATATCAGAAAGAAAGATTTAAAACTGACATTATACAAAGCTTTTTCTTGTGTTTCATTTTGTTCTTAATGATGGCAAATTTCGGTGGAATGAAACTAAATTATCTGTGACTATCGGGCCAACCTAAAACTAAATTATAAATTAAAAAAATAATATATATATTTATTTTAGACCATCAACAAATTATAGTTTAAAATTGCAATCAAATAATCCACAATTAAGCTATTCCTTTTTTTGGCGGGGGGGGGGGGTACCGGCGATCGAACTCAAGACCTTACACTTGAGAGGCAGGCACAGGAACCACTAAATCCTGGCCCAAAAAACATGCTCTTTATTTAACACCATTGTACTATAATTTTGTTTTTCATGCAGGCATATGCATATCTATGTTATATATGTCTATATTTCTATGTGGGAGAAAATAGGGATCAGAGAGAAAGAGAGAGAGAAGGAGACCATGAGATTGCTCAGAACCTTTGTCTACAGAAACTGAGGCATAAATCAAAAGTGAATTCATCTACACATGCAAAGGAATGAAAGGACTTTTAGAAGTGATAGGTTATGACTAAAAAAGATGACAAGAGCTTAAGTGAAAAAATAGAAAATGGAGGATGCAGGGGAAAAAGGAACGAATGCAAACTAGTATAACTGCTATGGATATTTGTATGGAGTTTCCTCAAAAGACTCAACATATGAATGTTATTTGACCTAGCTATACCATTCTTGGGCATATTTCTGAAAGAATAAAGAAATGCATACTCTAGTGATATGTGCATACGCATATTTATAGAAGTATAATTCACAATACCTATGATAGAGAAACAACCCAGATCCCAGTAGACAGTTGAATGGATAAAGACAATGTGGTATACGTACAGAAGAGCATATTAGTCATACAAAAGAATAAAATCATATTATTTGCATAAATATGGATAGAACTAGAAATTATCATGCTAAATGAAATTAGCCAAACTCAGAAAGTTAATTAAATAGGAAAGACAATAAGCAGGAAGTGGGGAGGAAAAGAAGAGAGAGGAATAAGGGTATTGACACTGATAAAAATATGTTAAAACCATATACCAACTTCCCAAAATAAACCTCATCATGATGCAATATGGACATGCAGTAATAAAAAGTAGGAACTGACATCTAAAAAGCATTCTTTATAAAATTCTATGCATAATGTATTATAAATTTAATTTTCTTAATTCCTGATGAAACCTGCAATGAAATATTCACTGCTCAATAATATCATTATAGGGTGGATTTTTTCAAAACAACAATACTGAGTTCTGTCAGAAAGCGTAACTTTGGTATAAAACAAACAAAGGAGAAACATCAAGAAGAATATAGCCATATATATTATACTATAAAGTTTAGGTCAGACTACTTTTTCCCTTTCATTAAATATTCTAACTTTCATAAAATGCTATTTTTAAAATCTTGACTTTTGGTAGCCTCTTCTTTATATAGCAGCATAAGATTAGCTTTACATTCCAATTATTCTACTATATTGAATAATTCTGAACTCATGTACAAATAACTCAATTATTCTTT